GGAAACTCCTCTACCTCTTAATGGATATTTGCGACTTATGATAATAATAGTCATGTATGTCAGCCTAAGCCTCAGTTAGCAGCACTCTCTATTGATTTTCTCTAAACCCATTGTACATCACCTAACCCTTGAAATTGGGTCACTTGTCTTTTCAATTCTAAAGTTTACTTCTAATTCTATTGTTTTATGATGGGCTTGTGATAATTTTCAACCACTGTTGCCTTGTCTCAGTTGTGACGCTGGGTTAATTATTAACTAGCTTGATAACAGGCAATTGTTTTATTTCAGTTATTTTTATTCATTAGTCCCTCAAGGAAATAGTTCTGTCCTATTCTGTGCCAGATTTAAAACAAACCTCTTGTGTCTTATTTTGTAAAACAAAAAGAAGCACTAGTCTGATAATAATAATCCTTAGATTTGATATAGCGCTTTTCATATCTTCTAGACGTCTCAAAGCACTTCACAGAATAGACTGTAAAGTGAATTGACTGTGGGCGAAATGCAGCAGCCAATTGTGCAGAGCAGTGTCCCACAAACAGTCGGGGAATGAAATGACCAATTTATTATTGTTTTTTTGAGGGATTATCATCAGGTGCGTGGAGTAGAGGAAACTTGCCCGAGGTTTCACCCTACCGGAAATCGAACCCAGAGCTTGTTGCTTATGATTTTCTTTGTTAGTGAAGTTCACTAATTTCATTCGGAAATCACAGAGCACAAAAAGGATTTTACATGAAGGTCTGTTAGATTTATGACTTGGATTCTAAAGTTATTGTTTATAGGAAGTCAATAGAACCCCTCAATTAGATGAATGTCTTGCAATTTACTTAGAAGTATCCGTTATACACCAGTACCAAAGTTTAATACAGTAAACATATTTGGCAAAATCTTGTAAGATTCAACAAAAAAAAATGCCCACATTCAGAGTACATACTGTCTGGAGCCATTGTTAATTGTCTCCGGTTTCCGCAAGGTTACTGGGTGTACTGGGAGGGTAGAAGAGGGTAAAATCTTTTTGTGAACACTGGAAAGATTCACTGCAAATGAGCATTGTTCATTTACATTAGGGCCTTTTTGGGAGAAAAGCAAAGAACTCCCGCAATTGGATCTTGTGAGAAAGATGCCAATAATGTATCATCAGGTTAGACACTTGGAATCTGGCAAATCAGCTTACACTTCCCTTATAGAGTATTACATTTTCATAAAAGTAGTACTGTTTAGAGGACACGCTTTTCCCAATCTCAGCTAGATGGCGCCATTAATTTGTTGTACCTACAAGATTGCTCACAAGCCAATACATATATATATATATATATGTATAAACACACACACAAACACAAACACTAGCAAGTCTTAAAGCACCATACCGGGTCTGAAGTACTTGCAGCTTCCAGCCTTAAAGGAGGCTGGTGAAAGGTGGGGAAAAATCAAATATATCATACATCTGCTGAATTTGGAACAGATACGTGAGGAATGGAAAGTAGGTAACTTAAGTTTTTTTATTGAGCAATAACATCGTTTAACAATTTAACACGATTCAAACAATTCACCAGTCAATCTGAACGGCTAATAAGCTTGATATCAGTCTTACGGAAAATCGTTTGAAATAATTTTCTGGGATGTAGTAGGTGAACACATGGCAAACATTAACTTGTTATCAACAGGCATTCAGGAAACAGAGATCACCTTTAACCAACCTGCTAAAAAATTATTTGAAGATGTCACTGATAATGGTGGGATAAAGGAAATGCAGTTCAAATTATACATTTGTATCTTCAGTATATCTTAGAAAACGTTCTACATCAGCAGTTAATGGATCAAATAGTTATGGTTGGAGGTGGTGGTGGATAAAGTAGGTTGTTAGCTAGAAAATTGGCTTAAAAACATGCAACAGGGCAATCATAAATGGGAACATTTCAGGTTGGAAAGAGGTTAATGAGCAGGATACCATGTTGCAGTTCTTAATGCAAACTTGGATACATTTATCTTTTGCAAATCCCCAAGTTTGCAAAATATATTAAAATCCAATTTACATAGCACCTTTCGTGTCAGGAAGCTGTTTCAAAATGCTTGACACCAGAGCTGGGGATGGGATCTGACAAACACAAAATATTGCTTACGTTTCTTTCCTTTTTTCATATTGGAAGGACATCTCAAAGCGCTTAACACACCTGAGCTGGGGTGGGGGGGGGGGGGGGGGGAGCGCAGGAGGGGAGCGGGGAAGAAGCCAAAAAAATATTAGGAGGCAGAGCAAGTGATACGAACATAATCGGATTCAGAAGATTTCGATCTTTTCGGTAACTGGACAGACGTGGTTTAATCTGGACAAGGGGAAATAATTAAGTGTCGGAGCAAGGAAGCAAAATAAAGTAGATATCAATGGACCGGTCATGCATTGCTCTGATTGGGAAAGAGATCTAGAAGTTATTGTGGATAAATCGATGAATCAGTCAGCCTAATGCTTTGTAAGAGTAGAAATGGCAAATAAGTTACAGGGTTGCATTACCAGAGAAATGCTGGTCAAGAGACTATATTTATAATGATCAGGGTCCATCTCAAACACTACGTGCATTTTTGCACAAGGAAGGGTATCAGTACCTTTGATCAGTTACAGAGAAACAACCGAGATTCGGAATCTAAGTTATAAAGGTTTTAGATGATTTCACCTTAGAAAAGAGGTGATCTTTAAGATATTTTCGAGATTATGAATTTAGACCATATTGTTCCAGGTAAATAACATGTTCAGTAAGATGTTTTCAAATACCAGGAGACACTCACCAAAAATAGTAAGTTAGAAAGCAGGGAAGTCAGGTGAAATGTTCTTATTGTATGATTAATAGACATGTGCAGTAAGTTATCAGGGAAGAGCAGGAAGGAGTCAAAAGGCATCTACAGTAGATGCATTTCTGGAAATAAAGGAGATTGATGCAAACGGTGAGTGGGGAGACAGCTGGGATTGGGAATTATCAAAAAGAATTTCTATAGCTTGTTCGGCTTTATTTCTCATTATAACATTCTTATGTTCTACATCAGAAGGGGGTCCAACCTTTTGGCTGCCGTGGCTAGATTACCTATTTGGGAATTCCCTTCTCACACTCTCTCAATCTCTCTCTGCTCTCTCCCTCTCAATCACTCTTTCTCCCCCCTTTCTCACATACACACACGCACACGTATGCACACACACACTCTCACACGCATCTCTCACTATCTGCAGCGGCAGGATCTAGTGGTTGCTAAGGACGTGGTGGACAAGGAGACTCGCTTGCCTTTCAGGAATCCCCTCACTCAGCTCGGGAGGGAGAGGTTTCCTGTAACACTGCAGCAACGACCGGTGTTATTTCCACTCTCCGCACTGCATCTTGCCAACCGCCAGCTCCTGCCGCTGCCAAGGGAGGACGATCACCAGGGAGGGAGGGAGGGAGGGAGGGAAAGAAAGTTAGAATGTTGGAAATGGTCTCGGGCCGGATAATATCAAGCAGAGGGCTGGTTGTGGCCCACGGACCGCGTGTTGGACACACTGTTCTACATAATGCCAATTAGAGAGTAGAAATCTTTGCCACCCAGGAGCAATGCTAAAATCAATTTGCTATTAGAGTTTTCCTCTATTGGCGCCAGGATATAGGAAGCCTAATGAGTGCTTCAAAAACCACTTCCGATCTCCATTCTAACAATTATTTTGAATATGAAAACAACATACATTTTGAATTTTACAACTTATCTCCCTCCCTCACCCCTTGTCCATAGTTCATTCTGAAAGTAATGTTGAAATTAAATAAAGTCAAATAAGTCAAGAAATCCTTTAAGGATAATTCTCAATCCCAGCTGTCTGCCTCCTCATCATCAATGCCTTCTTTATTTCAGAAATACGTCTAGTTACCTCTTGAATTTTCTGATAGGTGTCTAATATGGAGTCTTGAAAGGGTATGGGGAACGGGTAGCTAGCTGAATGGGACTGAATAGATTGCTCTTTCAAACAGCCATCATCGTCCAAATAGCTGTGAATTTGGGCAGCAAGTTCAAATTAAGAAATAGAATCGTTGACTATTTACAAAACAAATCCTTTTCATGGCAAAAGTTTATGAAGGCTAGGAGCCAACGACTCATTGGGAAAAGCTTGGAGTGTTAAACCGAGAGCCAGGAATGTCATGTTAATGGAAAACATTAAAAAAAAATCGACAGCTAAGTTATAAAAGTGCATGAATTTAAAAAAAAAGTACCATTTGTAACATGGAGTACTCTTTACACCTATTTACTGACAAGTGAGGTGTCGGGGTTGAGAAAGCGGTCGTCAGGGAAAAACGTCAGGATAAATAAGTCACATACCAGACAAAGCATCTTTAGGATGTAAAGTAAGTTTGCTGCGGGGAAGCCTATGAACATCTCGCCAATATATCAATGTACGAGGAGTTGACTCCAATCTACGACTGACCCCCCCACCCGCTGCAAGACTGCTTTTTCAATGAAAATATTTTGGGTGCCTCGCATCAGCAAGTTCTGTACAAATTAAGTTTGAGAATAGAGCACTCCTATTCAGAGAACACAAATGCTACCATACCCGCTAATCTTCCCCTGAGATTAACCACATTTTCTATTGGCCGTTTCATTCAACACAGGACAGTGCAACTATTACACAAGGTTCGGAACCAGGCTAAAACCAGCGGATGAAAAAAAAAGCCAGTCGGAAATAGAAATTACCAAACATAATAAAATCCCAAAATAGTTTGCATGCCTTCCGCACACATTTATTGTCGGCTTTCCGTGTGTTTAAACCAGGACATTTCCTACTGCGGAAGCTTTGTGTAGTGATCGCATATCATTGTTCTGGTCGCTGAGTAGATTTTAATTTAGATTTTAGATTCTTGTCTAACTAGAGCAATCAAAAGAAAAAAAAAACCTTCTGCAAAAGACAAGAGGAAACCAATTGTATACAGTACTTCCCGGGGGTGTGGGTGGTGGGAAGGGAAGGATACATTTGAAAAGGAAAAAGATGAGCACTAGGAAACCAAAATAATGCAGATTTATTTTGAGTACACTGCAAGTTACACTAGGCATTGGGTAATGCAACTGAACATGAAATACAGCGAAAAATCTAAGTGCCAATCACTGTCACAAACAGCCCTTTTACAGCTTTTTTTTAAATGCAGCAAAGCCTTATATATACACAGCACCTACACTTGAAGCCAAAAATACTGAAAAACAATGCTGCATTTTCAACCAAATAAAACAACCTAAAAAACAAACACTGGAACTGAATTGTGTGTCTGAAGATGAACTCCAAATATAGTGCAGAGACCTTTTTTTTAAAAAAAAACTGCATTAAATGCAAAAAACGTCAATGTGCCAGTCCAGAGTTTGGAGATGATGAATGCGGAAAACATGAGTCACCAATGTCATGCATCTTTCAAAGTGCTAATGGTAGTTTGTCAAATAAACATGACAGATCACTATTGCGCTGATCAAATTTAGTCAATATACTGCTGCTTTGATTTTAGTAACACTAGGTAGAAAATGAAAACGTACTTTAAGTAACACAAAAATGTGCAAGACTAAGCATTGTGCAAAATTCTGCCTCATCACATACTCCTTTTCTCTGTTTTTTTATTTAGCCTGGGCATCATTGCAGCCCAGGGTCCAACTACCTCCTTCCAATACTTGGGGGGGTTCCATACAATATGGACAGTTAAGTACTTTTATGTATAATTAAAGCAGCACTTCTATGAATACAAGAAGCATTTACAGCCACTTCTACACATCCTACTCTTTTACAATATTAAAACAAGTTTTGAGGGGGAAAAAAAATCTGTATTGCAGCAAACGAAAACCCGACTCTTCGCCCGGTGGCTGAAACCTAGACTGTGTCTGCCCGTTCAGTCAGGCCAAGGTAAGCCAAGAAGGAGTGTTTTGGGGTTCCAGTATCCGGGGGAGCTGTCTGTGGACGAGGGGAATGGAATGTAGCTTCACACCTGCTGTGTGGGAACAATGTAGTCAGTGGGATAAGGTGTGTCAGATCACAGTTCCTGTATTTATTGAGGTGCGCAGAAATACCGTTCAGGCCAAACAAGCCAAGTGCTGATCCCGGAGTAATCCCATTATTGCCGGTGACCGACAGAGCCACGCTCTGCAAAGCCTGGGACGCCGACATCACCGACAGCGGAGATAGGAGGCTCCAGTTGCTGTTGGCCAGAGCGTCGCCTCCTTTCCTGGCCAGCGGCTGAGCCTTCCTCTCCTCCAGGTAGTCCAAGCTCTGGTGCTTCTTCACGTGGCGGCTGAAGACGAAGGGATGGGTGGTGGTGAAGAGGCACTCGTCGCAGCACAGCGTCTGCCGCGGTGAGTGTTTCAGCTTTTTGTGGAGGTTGAGATTGTCTTTGCGTTTGCAGCTGTAGCTGCACTGGTCACAATGAAAAGGGCGCTCGCCGGTGTGCACCCGCACATGCTCGATCAGCTTGTTGGCCGTCTTGGACAGGTAGCCGCACTGGTCACACTTGTAGTGGTTGCCAAGGCGATGCTCGCGGATGTGCACCTCGAGGTCCAGCTGGTTGGCTTTCACCACCTGGCAGATCCGGCACTTGAATTCCATCTTGTAATGCGTCCTTAAATGGCACTCCATGGCTGAAGGACGGTTTGTGGCGTAAATGCAGAATGGGCACCTACAGCCAAAAAAAAACCCAACCTCATTAGAAACCTAGATATGTTTGTTCAAGCTACAACTCTTGCAACATTAAAGAACCAGGAAAGTTGTGCGTGTATGTGTGGTGTGTGTGTTTGGCGGGGGGAGGGGGGTGGTGGAGAAGAGGCAAAAAGGGCAGCTCTGTTGCTGATCAATTTAAATTTTAATATTAAATTGTGAATAGATGCTTTTTAAAAACATGCTAAACTGGTTCCAATTGCTAGAAATTCTTTCCTTTGATCAATAAGGTGATTACCGTCAAAAGGAGGGAAGAAAAAAATCCCACTATACAAAAGAAAAAGATGTTTTAGTCACAATGATCGATTCTCATTGCTTGGAAAGCTTTCCAGCTCCTCTAACCTACTGAATCATGCAGAGCTCTCTCTCTCTCTCTCTCTGTTTAACAAGAATAGGAGTAGTCTTATTTTAAGGGTTTATAGATGTAGGGGGACAGATTTCTGGATAGAGCACTATTTGGAAGTATTTGTGACCCTGAAATCAAAAGCTTCAATCAACGCAGTGAGAACAGGCTACAACATGATTTCATTTTGCAATTTTTGTTTAAATACAAAAATAATTACTGTATTCCAAACGTCACTTAACTCCTTACCATTGTCACCGATTAGAAACTTATCTCCTCGGAGTGTTTTTTTTTGTGAATGGATTCCCTTACTATTCCCTCTTTATAATTCGGTACTGTTGTGATTAATTTGGCACAATCCCAAACTGGAGTGTGGTTTCTGCATTGGATACAGAAAAGATATGTAAAACAGAGGACACACAACAAGGCTTAGTGGTTTACCAAAGAAAGAAACGTTAGGCTGTACAACTCGGGAACACTACAGTAAACCATCAAGCCAAAGTTGTGCATCCGATCGATACTCACCGCTTTGTGGAAGTCGTAACTTTATCGTTCAGAGTGACTAAATATTTAGTGATTTCCCCCCAGCCCCCTCTTCACCAATTTCCTCCCCTTTACTCCAACTCCTCTACATCTGCCTTTGATCCCACTACTACGGTACGGTTCAATGCACTCCTTCTGCTACCTCGCCCAAGTGACCTATAGCTCTCAATGTGTCTCAGCAGAGTGTCCCACCTTGTGGGGTGACAAAGCCGAATCCAAGCCTGCTCTCAACAGACACTCACACCTGTTGGTCTTCAAGGGAGCGTCGGCAGGACATTTTGGAAAACAGCCGTATCTTCCAGCAGGGTCCCTGACAACAGGAGGGGGTACACTGGCTATCCTTTACCTAGCCCAGAGGCCTACAGGCAAATTGTGACCCTCCCATCTGCTTTCTCCAGGTAAGAGTCAATCCTGTGTCCTTCTGGTCAGTTTAGAGAAGTGAAAGAGGTAATAGGAATGGGAGAAGGGGGAAGGGAGAGAGAAAAAGATGGCGAGAGAGAAAGGGAAAGAAAAAGAGGGAGAAAAAGAAGCGGAACTTTTGTCAAGGATATTCAGTGTGGATGACACACCAACAGCAGGCACACGACAGGACACAGGATAAAGCTGAGAGAGGCAATAGATGGACAGGTGGGAGAGAAGAATGAGCAGGCAAACAACAAGAAACAGAAATTGCGGAGGCACGAAGAAGGAGACAGTATATTCGATATGGGCAGGATTCAAACAAACAGGAACCTAACTAGATGTGGCTGGAATCTGGACCTGGAAGAAAACTATCAAGCGTATGATACCCACAGGAAGAGAAGGTTCGGGATCGGAAAAGCACAAGGTACTATTGTGCAATTGTGGCAGGAATGACCATTGCTTGAGTGTCCACATGCGGTGGATAGACAGAAACTGTTCCTGTTGAATAAACTGTGGAAACTAACACTCTGTCCTCTTATATTGTGTTTGTGGTGCAACGGGCCTGTAGATTCCCTCCCCAATTTATTTGTTCGTAAGAATATTTGCAATGTTAAATACACATGAAAGTTAAAAGAAACAAATCACTTTTCAAAAAAAATTAAGTTCCTCAGTTCCTAACCACACTGTTTGAAAAACCTAACTTGCAATATGGCACCGGGGTGGGGGGGCGGGGGAGAAAGCATTGCTGCTGCTTCATCCAGTTCCTGCGTATAATAACCTCATTGCCATCCATAACACAGCAGGGTATGTGTCAAATCACTTAGAGAGAGAAACTATTGATTTTTATTTCTAAAAAGGTCAATAAATAAAAACAAGATTAAGTTCCTCTTTGAAAGGCCCATGCACCCTAGTGCCATAGGCAAGTGCAAAAAAATTTAATCAAAGGCTTGATTTTGTACAACTTGACTTATATTTGCAATTGCCCTCCACGCAGAGTAGCGTCTCAGAGCGCTTAACAGTGGCGGAACCTAACTCCAGTGGGGAGGGCATAGATGGCCGTAAGCACTGTCGAAGAGGAAGGTTTTCAGGTAAGACTTGAAAAAGGGGAGAGCGGGGGAAGGTGGAGGGTTTGAGGGAGAGTGTTTCAGAGTTTCGGGGCGTAGTGACTGAAAGTGCAAACTCCGATGGTGGGGTGGAAGGTGCGAGGGACGAGCAGGACGCTGGTCAAGTGAAGGCGCCGGGTGGTGGATTGGGGACTGAGGAGGTCGGAGAGGCTGCAGAGCTTCCAAAATGAACCCGAGCTTCATACTGCAGGGAGTGGAAAGACATGTGAGTTGGGTGCTTTGGGGTGATTTGCACTCTCTCTTTCAAAGATTTTTTTCCCCTTACTTTAAGCATTTCGAATCCAACACAAAACTATCGTAGCGACAATACTACAGAAATGTGTAAATTTGTATTGGATTGATAATCTGTCAAGTCATAGCAAGTGTTTTATCAATGTAAAATAGTCGAGAACATTGAAGGAACACTTTTCAGGATTTACAGATTGCTTTGAAAAGCTGCAAGTCAAAACATCAATTTTATCCCTCGTGTTAGTGTTTGATTTCAAGTAATAATACGCCTTAAGAAGGGATATTCACGGGCTTGTGAGCAATACAAACAAGTTGCACAAACATAAGTTTCATATCGACACATTTCACCGTGAGCACAGAATGCACTATGTAAGTGTAAAACGGTTGTATTTAAGTTGCTGTGATGCTATTTAGCAAAGGGGTCATGTTTTTTCCATTTATAAAATAATAATAATTAATAATAATCCTTGTATTTGATACAGCACCTTTGTTGTCGAGAGGATGTCTGTCTCAGGGCTTCACATGATTTATTATAAAATGCGGTGAGTGTGCATTTTGTACATAAATGGGTTTATGGAAACTGGTGACTTTAAAAATATATATTAATTATTATTATCGTTTTCTTGCACCATGTATTTTGTCCTATCAATGTGACAGGCTGGAGACCTACTCTAAGCACCCACTGATGTACCCACTACAGTATTTAGCCACAATTCTGCAATCTCTTCTCCTTTTGTGTCTCTCTCTGTGTTCTTGGAAGGACCAGAGTGGCTCAGGTTATGTGCCCAATTCCCCCTGATTTTCAGTCTTCCTCTGAGAAGCCACCTGCATCCAATGGTTCCATCCCAATGATGAGATTGTGAAATATCACAAGCACGACCACATCCCTTTCAGTTTAAACTGCACATTAAGAACACAATGTATAACAGGAAGCGCTATTCCTGAATAGTGACTTGGGGACGGAAAAGAAACTTAGGAGGAACTACTTAACGCAGAGGGTAGTGAGATTGCGAAACTCGCTGCCTGAAGCACTGGTTGAATCAGATAGTGGAGATGTACTCAAGAGGAAGCTAGACCTTCACATGAGTGAGAGAGGGGATTATAAGGGTTTGGTAGGGAGTAAGGAATGAGTGAAGACGTGTGTGAGTATAAACACTGGCACGGACTGGTTGGGCAAGTGGCCTGTTTCGGTGCTGTAAATTCTTTATAAATCTTCGTAAAAAAAAATTGTTCCTGACGTGAAAGGTGCTATACAAATGTAATTTGTTGTTTTTGTTGTTAAACCAGCTGACATTCTTATTAGTGTTTTACGTTAAGTTTGCTTGATTAGCCAAACCCAAGCCCCGAACGCAATAAATTTTGGCAATTACATGGGATTTTGAAAGTCTCTCCCTTCAACAAAACCCACCCCCGATATCCTTACTTGAGTCCTCCAGTGGAGACGTTGTGACATTTTTTGTGTTCCAGCAGTTGCTCCGGGGTCTTCAGGAACTTGTGACAGACATCACACTCATACATCCTGGTGATCAGGTGGATCTGCAGGTGACGCTCGTACATCATCTTTGTTTTACATACAAAGTTACAGAAGACGCACTCAAAACCTGCAAAAACATGGAGCCGTTAAGAGTTTCAAAGAAACACAGCTCGCCAGTCGTACTGTGTAAACTGCTTTTTCTGCTCAGCTCTCTCGACAGAGCGAGAGAGAGGTACACAGAGACACACAGCACGCATGCACACACACAGAGTGAGAGATACGAACACACAGACAAGGACGGAGAGAGAAATAAGTACAGAGACACAGGGAGAGAGACAGACACACTCAGACAAGCACATACAGAGACACATGCAGACAGACAAGAGAGATACACACACACTGATTCAGAGAGACAGATACCTCATCACTGGCAGTATTATTGTTTTAGAATTGATGTGAATTCTTACATTGCCGACTTAAAAGTTTGCATTCTAAACACAAAATAGTTAAATTAACTAATACACTTATGCAATTGAAAACATAGGATTTCTATATGCTTCTTGCAGGTTATGTTTCTCGAAGGAAAACACAAAAATATAACTTATTAGGCCCATGGATGCTTCTCAAATCCAGCATCAGCCAATGCTGCCTGGTTTACATAGTGACAATGTACAATAATGCTGTAATATTGCCAATGGTAGTTTGACTGGATCACACGTTTCTGTAAACTAAGTTAGTTTGTGTGTAGCTTCACGTGGTTTGGGTGGAGAGCATCATCCTGATAAGCTAAAATGGAGACAGCAAGTTCTCTGTTTTGCATCACACTGTATCAGAGCTCCTGGAGCAGCAAACCAACCCGGGGCTCCAGCCACACGGTGACGTCCACTGGGAACTGACATCCATAGGAACACTGGGTGAGCGAGGATGGATTGCGCTCAGATTTGCCCAGGTCCCTCCTCCCCTCGAGTAAATAATAATAATCATCCTTGCGTTCGGTATAGCGCCTTTCATGTTGGAAGGACGTCTTACAGGATTTAAACGCTCCGGGAACCTACCTCCTGTGAAGGGCGTTATATAATTGTAAGTTGTTGTTGTTACAGGATTTACCATAAAGTGTAGTGACTGTGTGTTTTGTAGGTCAGCAGTGACTGCCAGCAGTCACGGTAACTTGACTAACGGGCACTTGGCTCAGGTTCAAGAAACATGACTGCTGGGAAAGGGTTCCACCAAAGCTTTATGTGTGGAAGAGTACACAAGGCATGAATCCTTTCAGCGTGTTCGGGTGGGGGAGGGGAGGAAAGAAGAGAAGGGAAATGGGAGAAAAACCACCACCACAAAATCAAGAAAATCCCACTGATTGATATACTCAACAAAAGTTTGTGGACAGAACTGTCCGTTTTATTATCTATCATTTTCTCTCCAGTCACTGTGGGAATCAATCTTACTGCTTCAGTCTATCTTTTGCACTGTATATACTCCATCACTCTTTCTTCTCTTGCCTAATCACTCACAAAACCTCTCAAAACTTCCTGCCTCCTAGCCAGGGCCCTAAAACGCAAACAACAACAACATATATTGCGTTGGCAACATGCACAAGACGTTTCACCCACTAAATATACAGTCAATTCACTTCACAGTATATGCTTTGAGACGTCTCGAAGAGGTGATAAGGCGCTATATCAAATGCAAGGATTATTATTAAGATGTTATTGCACATTCACAGGTACCGTCTTCAGCGGAGACATTAAATCGAGGTTCAATCTGCGTTTTAAGTTGAAAGATCCCACAACACTATTTGAAAAGTGAAGTAAGAGACCTGGACAACTATCCTCCTGAATAATTAATCACTCACCTCATACCTTTTTAAGAGATCTTGCCGTTTACAAACTGGATGTGGGGTTTGCCTTTGTAAAAGCAATAACTACACTTGCTGATTCCTTGTGGTGCACTTTGAGACGGTTCTCAATGCGAAGAGGAGCTATCAAAATGCAATCTCCTACTTAACACGAGAACACCTCCAGAGATGCTTCACCATTTTACAAAGAAGTGGATCACAAAACACAATAGTCTGTGGTTTGCAGGCTCAAAAATGTAACGTTCTGGAAACATAACACAACACAGTTTTATCTTAGGCCCAGTCTAGACAGAACAGAAGTCCTCTCCCTTATTAATTATGAGCATCCTAAGCGAAATGAGTTAGCGTCAGGCTCTCAATCTCACTGGTTGGTAGAAATCCACTTTTCCAAGGATAATCCTTCCCACATATTGTTTGGAAGACTGCAAAGGAAGTATAATTTATATCTTCTGTGAGCTATATTTTGCTTCCAAAAAGCACCTTGTTTTGCTTCCAAACAGACATTCAATTTCACATCACTGGCGATCCCTGAAGATCCCTGATTAGCAAGATGCATTTTTTCATGGGTAGCTACAGATGTGGGCAGAAAAAAGATAACTATACATCAAATTGCGAGAGTTGTAAATTGATTTAGCTACTGCAGATATTCCTGCGTGTTGAAGGAGGTTATCTGGCAGGAACTCTGCTCAGACACTGTCCTCCTGCCCAGTTGGTAAAAATCTGGAAGTCGAAACCAATAGGAGCTTCAGTCCAGTGCGTTGGTGAAGGATTCGATAATCAAGGATCAATGAAACTAATAATAATCCTTACATTTGATACAATGCCTCTCACATCAGGAGGATGTCCCAAAGCTCTTCCCAGAATATCATCATCATCCTTGCATTTGATATAGTTCTTTTCACGTCTTCTAGACGGCTCAAAGCGCTACTGTAAAGTGGTATGACTGGGTGTTTCGTGGGCAAAATGCAGCAGCCAATTTGACAACAATGTTCCACAAACACCCATGTAGTGAATGACCAATTTTATTTGGGAGATTGTTGGCCAGGACACTGGGAGAAATCCCCGTTTCTTTTTCAATAGTGCACATGGGATCTTTAAAGTCCACCTGAACAATAGACAGAGCCTCGGTTTAAAGTCTCATCCGAAGGACAGCAATGCAACACCCCTCAGCACTGCAGGTGCCATGCAAGTTCCAGGTGAGTTCCAAGCCACGGCATGGAACTCAGAGGTGAGAGTGCTACCAACTGAGCCAGCATGACAAACACCTGACTAGCAAATTAAGACCTATTATGAACAAAATAAAATATAAATAAGAGATTCCGGATCCTTCTGCAGATTGCACGCAATTTAGTCCGTGACAGAACCTACCCAAACTAAGGAGGGCAAAAACAAAAGTAAAAGTAAATCACAAACAGCGCGCAGTGGATGATTAGGTCCGGGTTGCTTTCATTGTCTGAAAAGGAACTTGTCTTTGAATTACAAAGTTATTGCCAATGGAGCTCGTTGCTCACTTCAGATTGTGGCGAATGACTCAGGCGCACGCGGTCAGCAGTCAACAGTGGGAGCTCGTTTTTTAAAAAAACAAACCATTTTAGGACGGTGGTAACATTACTCAAGATTAAAAGGGAAAAAAAACTAGATGGCAAGCTGGTGTTCATCAGAGTTTGCCAACAATGAAACATGATGCTGCTGGACAGAGGAAAGAGCCTCATTCTTTTCCCTCAAAGTCAATTGATTTGTGCAACTTTGAACTGCTATTCCATCTTAATGGTCCTTAAAACCTCACCAGAGGTTATTCACAAACTAAAACCCTGGGGATGTTTCAAGGTCTATTTTTTCAGTGAAAAATTGTGTATGTGTGTGTGTGGGGGGGAGGGGGTTACTGGAAATTTAGTCAATTATTTGAAGGCAATTGCAGTAGCTATTTTACACGCAGAAAACCCCCACAAACGTGAGGTATATATGGTCAATTTATCTGGGGGATTATTAGCCAGGGCACCAGAAGATACTCCCTTCTCTTTTCAGGTAGCATCATATGATCTTTAACATGTACATGAAAAGGCAGACAGGGTCTAGGTTTAGCATTTCATCCAAATGTCCACACAATGCTTCACGTCCCAATTACTGCACTGCCTGAACTCAGAACTCATTTGAATCGGGGTCACCAGCCGCAGACTGCAGCTCAGACCTTGAGAGTATGAGCTCTTAGCTCAAGGCCCGCTTTAATCAGCAATGATCTCCACAGACCCAAAAGTAACAGCAGGCTGGCTAGACCTGCTCTGCTCGTATCCTCAAGACCAAAAGTAACAGCAGGCTGGCTAGATCCACTCTGCTTGTATCCTCAACACACCTTGAATGATCATCCTGGAACTGCGGCCAACGCTGCAAACTCACTCAATCTCTTCTGAATGATTCCCAACCATTCAGAATACCATTTAAAAACACACAGCCACTAGATATTAAACTACTCTAGCCTGTCTAGAAGCCACAGGCTAGCAGCAAAAACAAACTTCTCACAACCAAATTTGGCATTACGTAGTTAAGAAGCTTATTAATAGTAATAATAATCCTTCTATTCAATACAGCGCCTTATCACATCTTTGAGATATCTCGAAGCCTTTCACAGAATATATTATAAAATAGATTGACTGTGTATTTGTGGGTGAAACGTTATTAAATGCTATTATTAAATGGCTCAGCACAAAACATCTAAAAGCAAGCAGCAAAATCACATGCAGAGATTGTAAATATTGACCTGAATTATTATGCGGCAAGCACTCCCTCACCTTTCTCAGCTTTTTCCTCTGAGCCGGATGTAGATGACCCGCTGGATGCTGAAGGAGGGTTGAATAAAGGACCGAGATCCTCATTGCTCACAATAGAGCTGGGGATTTCACAATCAGTGACAAAATCGCAAAGTGTCGAGGATGAAGATGAGGAGGAAGATGAAGAGAATGATGGATTTGCCTTGGATTCACTGGTGGGGCTGAGAGTGGAAGGCGTTCGGACCTTGTGATCTGTAGAAATGTCAAATACACTCATGTCCAGAAAGAGCATTACCGTTAGATCTTTCCTGAAAAGGAACCTTTTTAGCTTTTTTTATTTTAACGTTTCTAATTTTCTCCCTTCTGGCATATGCTTCACACGACTCAAGGTAAGTCCGTGTTCGATCAGTAGTATGTTTTCAGTTTTTCCTTGACTTGTGGCATAAACCAAGAAATATTAAATCAAGGAAATTTATTTTGTTGGCTGACCATAAAGATTGGCCACCACTGACCTAAACAGTCAAAGAGTATAATTTGGAGTTTTTGTCAACCCGAATATATTTAATATAGCATTTCAAGAGGGAGAAAAAAATGTTATTTCAAAAAATCTTTAAAAACTATCACCAAGTAATTCATAAAAATAATCCTTGCATTTGATATACCGCCTTAACACATCGTTGACACATCGCAAAACGTTTCACAGGATATAATATAAAGTGAATTGACTGTGTATTGTGTGGGTGAAACGTGGCAGCCAGTTGCGCACAGCAATGTCACCCAAACTGCCATGGAGTGAGTGACCAATTTTATTTTAGTTGGACCAATTTCATACTTAATTTGAATGGTTGAAGCATTATTAAATTTTAAGAATTGAATTTCCTGAATAATAAAAAGGTTTATATTCAATAATTCAGCAGGCTTCTCCATGCTTCTATTCTAACCACCAGACAATTCAAGTCTGAACTATCCAACCAAATGGTTAGGTTTTTGGGGATATCTGGTGTGCATTCAAATCAATTACTATGGCCATTACTGGATTTTCTTTCTGGCATTAGGGGGTTACAGAGTATAAATGCAACCTAACATGCGACAAGGTTTGGAAGAACCGCATCATCAAGAGTTTTACAGTAAAACTGACATAAGTTTTATCAGTCGGGATCATAATATGACTTATGCAAAGTATGAGTTACACAAAATCTTGCAACACAAACTTGTACAAAATTTAGTTAATAATCTACACTGTGCCTGCGACCTTCAATGTAGCCGGTAAGTGCACAAGCGTCGACGGGTCAGAACTTTATTTTCTGTGATTCAATACAGCTGGTAAGTGCAGTAGCGGAGTTATGAGTTAGAAGATGATTTGCTTTATAAAATAAATAATTATATTATTTTATAATAATTATAAAATTATTATAAATTAAAATAAAATCTTAAGTGTTTTTTGGTAGGAAACTGAATGGGACTCGGGTGCATGTACAACTTAGGTGATTATACTCTTTATAAAAATAAGACTTATGCGAGTTTTACTGTACAGCACCTTATGTAAGGGTGCTATATAAATGCAAATTGTTGCTCATGCAGGGCAGCCTCTCGGAGAGCTACAACAATAACGATTTGCATTTATATAGCGCCTTTCATACCAGATGGAATCTTGGAACGTTGTACAATGGCGGAGTTGGACGCCATGCAAGAAGGCAGTGGGGGAGGTGATCATAGGTGAGTTGAAGAGGTAGATTTTAAGGTGGAGTTCAAAGATTAAGAGGGGACGAGGCGGAGGAACACAAGCGCATAATATGTATAAGTCTAAACACTAACATCTGAGCAGTAGCTAGCCTGTCTTAGTTACCTCCATGTGCTGCATCCACATGAGCCTTCATCTCCATTTCCTCCATGCAGGCAAAGTTACAGGTATTGCAGCACAGCGAAAACATCCACTGCTCCTTATCTACATGCACAGACATGTGGCTGACAAACTGCAGGTTCAGCTCAGTCTCAAATCCACAAACATGGCAGCTGCAATATATAAAACATTGTCATCTCCCATCTCTTTCAATGTGCACGTAATATTTGAAATATCTAGAATTATGTAAAATATCATGAAATCTACAGCACCGGAATATGCCATTCGGACAACTAGTCCGCACTGGTGTTCACGCACCACACGAGCCTCTGTCCATCCTAATTCTTCAATCTCTAATTTCCCCTCCTACCCCTCTTTTCCCTTCTCCCTTATATATGTATTCCCTTCCCCCTCGTGCATACATTCCAACATTAAGCACAATTTGTATTTGGCAGAGCAAAACCTGAGCTTTACCTGTAGTAATAGGGGCCGTTCTTACGATCACAGCTGTTTGACGTGACAGCATTAACTACGTTTTCAGAGTCTGCACTCACTAACTTCACTGAATGGATTGTCAAATGCTGGTTTAGATTGGCTCGACACTTGGCAGCATAGGGACACAAGTGACACTTGTACTTCCTTTCATCTGCAAAACAATAATAGTTCATAATCGTGTGTTCTTCTCCTCCCCCTTGCTCCCCACTACGGACCCTTACTTTTGAATGCACCAAGACAGTAGCTCAAGAGGAGGTTAGAGTTGTAACTCAGGCAGGGCGAAACCTTGGGCAAGTTTCCTTACTCCACACAGAGCCTAATAATAATCCCTCCAAAACCAAAAATCAATAATATATTGGTCATTTTCAATCTACGACTGTTTGTGGGACATTGCTGTGCGCAATTGGCTGCCGCGTTCGCCCACAAATATACAGTCAATTCACTTTACAGTGTGTTCTGTGAAGCGCTTTGGGACGTCCTCCCGACGTGAAAAGCGCTATATCAAATGCAAGGATTATTATTATTATTTAAAGGGGAAATTTCAGGACAGATACTGGAAATTTTTCCTTTACTCAGAGGGTAATGGACAAGTTCCCATTAGGGTGATTGAGGCCAGGCTACTGGACATATTTAAAGAAAAACATCATGATGTTTTGATGGGGAGGGGGATGGTAAGGTGGGTTTTCTGGAGGGACGAGATGAGTCAAAGGCTCCCAATCCCAACAGTGCTCGAATGGCAAAACTGCTTGGACCAGAAAAAGGGTCCGTGACATCACATCGACTCCTGAGACTGCGGCTCTGACTCGAGCTCTCCAGGGAGAGATATCTCGCTAGTCCATGTGACGTCCAGGGGTTCCCTGGAGAAAGCGGGATGCCCCCACTGATTTTTCTCAGCGGGTTGAGGAAGTTTGCGCTTCATTTATTTGAACGCCTTGGGAGCTTGCCACAATGCATTATAACCGCACGTTAAAAAACTAAAGCAAAATGCCACACGGAATTCAGAACATCTCCCTCCTTACCTGTGTGCAAAGAGAGGTGTCGGGACAGTGTCTGTTGTCGGCCAAAAACCTTCCCACAAACCTTACAGGGAAAAAGCTGCTCACAAAACTTCCATGGTGGGGTTATATTCCCCAACTCGACGGGTAGTTTCCCCATTTCTGCAAATGGATAATGTTTCTTATGTAATCTCAGTATCTTTTTTTAAAAAAAACTTTTTTTCCTTTGAAAAAAGGAATGCTCTACATCAAGTTCACTTCTCAAATTGTTACGTCAGCTTCTGAAACAAATGTCAGCAAACATGATCCTGCATGGAAGCTCACATTACCTTAGGAACCAAGGTGTCTAGTTTGACCTCCTACCATCCTACCTCTGGGCTCTTAACCGTTTGGTTTTCCCTCACCTCTGCATCATCACCCTCCTCTGCCATTACCTCTCCCCCTGGGGCGGCCAAGACCCTCACCCATGTCTTCTTCGTCACCTCAAGGCTCAACAACGACAACACCATGCATTTATATAGCATCATCCACGCCCGGCGATCTCTCAGAGCACTTAACAATGTCGGAGCCCGAGGCCGAGTCAAGGGGAGGGGGAAGGTGACTGTAGGCGCGGTCGAAAAGGAAGGTCTTCAGGCACGACCTGAAGATGGGGAAGGAGGGGGCGAGGTGAAGGGGTTGAGGGAGGGGGTTTCAAAGTGTCAGGACGTAGTGGCTGAAGGCACGGCCACCGATGGTGGAGCAGAGAATTCGGGGATGCGGAGGAGGCCGGACCCAGTAGAGCAGAGGTAGTGGGTACTGCTGTGGGGAGAGAGGTTAGGGAGATAGGGGGGCGCCAAGGAATGAAGGGATTTAAACACTAGAGTGAGGATCTTGAAGTCAATCCGCTCTGTGACAGGGAGCCAGTGGAGTTTGGCAAGGACTGGAGTAATCGGGGTATGAAGTTTGGTGCGGGTGAGAATGCGGGCGGCGGAGTTTTGAATGAGCTGAGTTTTGTGAATGGTGGAGAAGGGGAGACCGGCGAGGAGGGCGTTAGAAGTGACAAAGGCATGAACAAGGGTTTAGACAGCTTTTGGGGTGAGGTATTGTCAGAGACGGGCAATGTGGCGGAGGTGGAAGAAAAAGGTGCTTGTCAGGGACCGGATGTGGTGGAGAAAGGATAACTAGGGATCAAACCTGATGCCTAAGTTGTGCACAGATTCGGAGAGTTTTAAGCACAGGTTGGGTAGGTTGAGGAGGTCGGAATCGTGGGACAGAAGATGTCGGCAGACGCCAAAGAGTATGGCTTCTGTCTTGTTGATGTTCACCCGCAGGAAATTTGCGCTCATCCAGCTCCTGATGTCCGACAGACAAGCTGACAGAACATCAGGGGACTGGAGGTCGCAGCTGGAGGTGGAAAAATAGAGTTGAGTGTCATGTGGAAGTTAACCCCGTGCCTGCGGATGACATCACCGCGAGGGAGCATATAGACGAGGAAGAGAAGGGGACCAAGAATGGATCCTTGGGGTAATCAACCAATACTTCACCCTCCCTGCTAGACTTTGCTGCCTCTGTAAGTTGCACACCATCCAGAACTCTGCAGCTCATGTTCGCTCCTGAACAAAGCTCCACAAGCCATTAGCCTCGTCCTCATTCGGCTTCAAAGGTTCCCACCCCCCAGTGGATCAAACTCAAAACTTTTGTCCTCGCTTTCAAAAGTCCCAGTGCCTCGCCCCAAGCTTCCTCTGCCACCTCCTGCCTCAGCCGCACCCTCCGTTCAACAAAACTGCCCCCCACCCAATCTGCCCTGCCATCAGCGGGCAAACTTTCAACAATTCTGCTGTGCACAACTGGCTGCCATGTTTTGTCCACAAATTATACATTTTACAATATATTCTGTGAAGCACTTTGAAATATCTCAACGACATGATAAGGCACGATATCAAATGCAAGGATTATGTGTATTATTAATTACTATTATTATTAATTCTGCTCCTGCTCTCTGGAACTCCATTCCATAGTCCCCTATCTCACCCTTACCCTCCTCACTTTAATATCTCTGTCTCTGACTACCTTTTCAGATGCTTTTCTCCTGCTTCTTGTCTTTATGACAAAAAAACTTTAGATTTTGATAACAATAAATGTAAAAGTTGAATAGTTTAACGTGCTTATCCAGTAGATTGGTATCAAAAAAGGTGAGTCTATCAATTATTTATCTCTAAAATAATAATATGATTCAATGCTTTTTACATTAGACTGAAAAGCACATTTATATATCGATACTTCATGACTGTTGGACAGATGTATGCAAATTGTCTGCCATGTTCGCCTATAAAATAATTTCTTTACACTTTACAGTAAATTCTGTGAAGTGCTTTGAGATGTCCTCTTGATGTGAAAGGCACTATATGTAATGAAAGGATTATTATGTATATATATATATTTATAGTTGAAAATGTTCAACTTTGTATGGTTTAAGAAAATAAAATGAAAAGAACCAACCAAGTATCTTCGAAAGCTGCAGAAATATTTATAGGCCAGGTCAGAATGATCATGTGACAATCACATACCTTGCAATGCTAGTCTCCCATGGAGGTCGGGTAAAAAATCTCTCGGGCTTGAAGTAAACACTGATGATCTAAACGTTTCTTCACAAAGAGAACTGCAATGAGTAATGAGTAAAAAAATTACAGTCAAGTAGTCCCCAAAAGATTTTTTTTCCATGGTATTAACATACGAGAACAAAACGCCATTATTGATGAAATTCTCAGCACTAAAACATGAGTAATAACATCTGGGGATCTGGGCGGTGTAACAACTTATAACATTATTCTTGATCACAGGGACTTCAATGTCACCATCTGTCAGATTGTCACTGAACCTCCATCACGCCATCACTTTATAGCCAGGACCCTGTGATCTATGGTTACTGCTCAGATCATACACCACACGATATCGGAACAAGATTTCAGGATTGGTTGTGCAAGCATGAAAAGCACTATGGCTTCCCAATCAGGAATTAAACATAACAGCGCAATTCATAGAGGTTATTTTGGACTGACTGACATTGAAACTTACGTGAGCTTCCCCAAAACATAACTGATTCTAATTTCCTAATTTGAAGAGCTTTATAAAAATATTTTGCAATTGGATGAATTATGCATATGACCCTGACCTTATAGAGATGACATCTCCATAAGGAACTAGACGCAGCTATACCTGGTTTACTTGCTTTCTATTCTAGTGTTGCTCCTTGACGATAGCTGCTCAGGAAGATCCTATCACCGGGCAGTCTGATTCTCAGTCTGCACTTCGGTTTGTTGGGCCACTTCTGCAATACGGACTAAGAGGTGGGTGAATAAACTGCTTACTGCTGAGAGCACCCTATCATTTGGCAATGAATTCAAATCCAGGCCGTAGAAAAGATTCTATTCTCAAAGAACTCACCTCTCAATTTCTTTTTTAAAATGACAATGGTCACTCACCTATTGATGCTGAAGTCGGAACTTTCTTTTCCTTGCTCTTGTGCTTTGCTTACTTTTTCTGGAAGAGCACAAAAAGCACACAAAGAAACATTCATTTAAAAAAAGTAGCATCTGCAATATTTAAGTATACCCTATGAAAGAATCTTTCTCAGTAGTGGATACAGTTTTTTGGAAAACTGAGGAGAAGTTTAGTGGACAGGTCAGGTCCTTCATCCACTTTGCACTATACAAGTGAAGTGCATTACTGTGATCTGGTCACACCTCATGCCACTAAGTCACTACCTTATTTTCACTGGTGCTTTGCAGTTTTCAAAACTCATTGGCTGGGCTGAAAGAGCAGTACAGAACTCTAATGCCAAAGACAGCCTCACACATCATATATTAGACCGGTTGGTAAACACTCAATTACTTTTGAGCCAGGTGTCAAGCTTGTTTCTCCTGGTGACCTGGGCGACAATCCCCTGGATGAAATTGGTCATTCACCTCATAGCTGTTTGTGGATGGAGCATTGCTGCGTGTAAATTGCCTGCTGTGTTCGCCTACAAACTACCCCAAATTCTGTGAAGTGCTATATCAATTGCAAGGAAAATTATAATTGGAACTCTGCATTTTGATATTCTGCTGTTTAACTGTATTGCTGTAGTAATGGCCGAAGATTTTTTATACTTAAAGATCAAGTGCAGTTAGACATTGACTTGCACATATTACGATATTTTTTTTAAAAAACCTGCAGGCAAAAATCTTGTCTCATCTCATTTCATTGCACCATTGAGCCAGTTGCTTCCACTGACCAAGTACAGTGCAATTTCTGCCATTATGAATCTTATCCTATCTATTTTGCCTCCAGAGGGAGGTGAATAATATACAACTTCCACGGAGGCTCTTAAACTACGTGCGTGAAGTGATTGCCCCAGGTGCTGTGGTATCCAATGCACAGAGACCAGAGGTCGAGCACAGGAGCTCGAGATATCAAAGAACTGCTTCTGCTGGAGACACTCCAGGGCGAGAGAAGAAGAGAGGCAAAAAAACCCAAACGTGGCTACTGTTCATGATTACTCTCTATTGAATCTACCTCAGTCGATCACGCCATCCTCCTCCACCGCCTTTCCTCTGTCATCCACCTCAGTGGGACCGCACTCACCTGGTTCAAGTCCTACCTCACAAACCTCCAGCAGTACATTTGCACAAACGGCTTCTCCTCCCGCTCTCACCCGGTTACCTGTGGACTACCCCAAGAATCCATCCTTGTCCCCCTCCTCTTTCTGATCTACATGCTCCCTCTTGGGGATGTCATCCGCAAACATGGGGTACACTTCCACATGTAAGCGGACGACACCCAACTCTATTTTTCCACCTCTCTTTGCGACCCCCAGTCCCCTGATGTTCTGTCAGCCTGCCTGTCAGACCTCAGGGGCTGGATGAGCGCAAATTTCCTTCAGCTGAACATTGACAAGACGGAAGCCATACTCTTTGGCTCTCGTCAACGTCTAAAACCTCATGGCCCTCACCTCCTCCACCTACCCAACCGACCCCTAAACTCTCCGAACCCATACGCAACCTAGGCGTCAGGTTCGACCCCCAATTATCTTTCCTCACCCACATCCGGTCCCTCACCAGCACCGCCTTCTTCCACCTCCGATGCATCGCTCATCTCCGCCAACACCTCTCTCCAAAAGCCGCTGAAACCCTGGTCCATGCCTTTGTCACCTCTCGGCTGGACTACTCTAACGCCCTCCTCGCCGGTCTACCCTCCACTACCATTCATAAAATCTAAACCATCCAAAGCTCTGCCGCCCGCATTCTCACCCGCACAAAACTTCGCTCCCCGATCACCCCAGTCCTTGCCAGACTGCACTGGCTGCCTATCCAAGAGAGGATTGACTTCAAGATCCTCACCCTTGTATTCAAATTCCTCCACTCCTCTGCACTCCCCCACCTCTCTGACCTCCTCTCTCCTCAAAACAGTAGCTGTTGCCGTCGTTCCTCCGGGTCTGGCCTCCTCCTTGTCCCCCGAGTCCTCCGCTCCACCCTCGGTGGCCGTACCTTCAGCCACTGTGCCCCGAGGCTCTGGAACTCCCTTCCTCACTCTCTTCGCCTCGCTCCCTCTCTTCCTATTTTCAGGACTGAAGACTTTTCTCTTCGACTGTGCCTTTGGTCACTTTCCTCCCCCTCCCCCTGGCTCGGCCCCGGGATCCGTTACTGTGAAGCGCTCTGAGACGCCGTCCGGCGTGGAGGGTGCTATATAAATCCAAGTTGTTGTTGTTGTTGAGGTATATGCCAGCTGCATGTTCCTCGTCCCCTCAACGCCAACTTTGGTGGTCGAGCCTTCAGCAACCACATCGCTAACCTCTTTAACTCTGTCTCTCTACCCTTCTGCTTCACCCCCTTCCCAACCATTTTTAAATTCCTCCTAAAAGCCTCTCATCGACTGCACCACCTCCCCCTCCCCTGCTCGGCTTCTAACACTGAGAGAATATGGAGAAGGTATAAGAAAGACCAGGGAAATAGGATTAAAAGTTCTGCCATGATCTAGTAAACTGGTGGAATAGACTCATTGGGATAAATTGACTCAAATGACATTGATACAATGCCTTTCACGTCGGGAGCACTTCCAGTTGGGTTCCTTGGATTCTACTGCACTTCAGTGGTGTAAAACATTGAAATCGCTACCAATATGGTGAAAGTCTTCACCTGAAGGAGCTAGTGCCTTTGATTATCTCTTTATCCTCACAAAGATTTCATATTTGTAGCATTGCAGAAAAGGGATTTTAGCGCAGAGAGATTGCAGGGAAGAGGGAGAGCAGATGGTTCAGATAGTGTATTTGGGAGCTCAGGTAGATCAAGGGAGGCAAGACCAAAGGAGCAATCTCTGGTATGGTATGCAGGGCACACTCTGCACTCAGATGAAAACTCCTGGTGAGGTTAGATGAAGGTTGGCACGAGGCAAGACTTGGGGTCCCCAGAGCGTGCATTGTCTTACCACTGGAGTTTAACCAACTAAAATTAACACTATTGAGAACGCTGGCAAGCTTCCCACTGTCAGGACTACCCCTACATTAATGTTTTGGTTTGTGGAGTTAACAGGAACCAAATGGGAAGAATGCCATCTCCCAGTGACTGGTCTTCCTCTCTAAATCCTGTTAATGAGCCAGGCTGGCTGGTGTATCACCAATACTACCTTGGAGTACCATGCACTATGCTGGAAATCTGCCCCTTATTTGCAGAGGTTCAAATGCCAAATTAATTGGTTGTTAACCCAAAGCTGCTGAAAATACATTAGGCATTTAATTGTCCGTTAGTATTGAATTTGTCTAATTTTTTTGCAAGCTCCTTGAAAAAAATTGTGGCAAAATTTCTGAGACATCTACCTTCAGTTGCAGCTACATACTGTGGTTCCACCTCCTACTGTACAAGAAATAAAATTCTGGAACTATGTGAGACTCGCTATTTATACCACATCTGCCTTCCAATCCTAAAGTAATGGGAATGTAAAGTTATAGTTGTCTGTAATGGTTCACAAAATAAGAAATAGATCTGCCATCCCATTAATTTAGCAATAATAAAGCTGAACAATTAATTATACGATCTAATCAATGTGAAGTGAAGGAGCATTTGTTCCAGTAAAGTAGTTTTCTGTATCCTCCTCCACATCCAAATCACTTGGAAGAAATATCCAACTTATATGAAAGAATTTGGCATTTTTATAGGACCTTTTAAAATTTTGAAAGCACAAAAATTGAACACAGAGAAGGAAGCCTTACAAAAGTGATGTCTCTTTTCGTTCACTCAAATAGCAAGCTATGGTTCCTGAAGTGTGCACTCACGGCTTTTAGAGTTATGGGGTGAAGATCCACCTACTTGAGGATTCTTACCTTTTTGGACTAATCATCTACAAAATACACAGTCACTACACTTTACAGTAAATCCTGTGAAGTGCTTTATCCTTCTAGTGTGAAAGGCGCTACATCAAGTGAAAGGACTATTATAATAATAATCCTTGCATTTGATTTAATATCTCATCAAGTAGTCAGGACTACTCAAAGCACTTCACAGGATACTGTAAAGTGGTGTGATTTTATGTATTTTGAGGGCGAACGCAGCAGCCAATTTGTGTACATCAGTGTCCCACAGACAGCCGTGAAGCATGTGACCAATTTTGTTTGGGGGTTTGTTATTATTATTTATTATTTGATTTTCTCAGCTAAAATAGCTCTGTAGATACCGGTGCACAATTTACATTCACCCTACAACTTGGAACAGCACAAAAAACACTGATCGTAATCTGCTTGGAAGCCTTGAAAACAAAGGAACAGGAGGTGAAGAAAGGCACGCAGACACATTATATGTAAGATAACTGACGATATAACGAGCACCAAAATCAATGCAAAAAAAAGAAAATGCTGGTCAGATTGTGAACAGTTACGCTATATCCAACATAAATGACCGTGTGGGGGGGAGGGACAGAGGATAATAATAATGAATCACCTTGTCACCTCTGCATTCCAAGAAGAGATGGCATTATTAGCTATTAATAGCTCACTGAACCACCAGTAAAAGCTGCAGCCAAATATCTTGCTAGTTTGATTGACAGAGAGCTGCAAAGTGATCTTTGTGAAATGGCCCTCTGCTGGCTTTTCCTTTTTATGTCCCACCTTACAAAGGACAGATCACTGCATTGTGTCAAACTTTCCGCAAAAATAATGTCAATTAACAAAAGGGATTGGGTTGAAAGGCAATTTTCTTCAGGAATTTCAAGGTTGCAAGCCATAAAATCTTGAACCCGAACAGAGGTCAACATGCTCGAACCATCTTTACTCTTGACAATTTAGCCTTGCTACAGCATAGCCACGCAGGTACCTGAGAGTTGATAAAGAAGCTCCGATGCCATCTTCACAGATATGTCTTGAGTGAAGAGCTGGATTTCCGTACGAGGTATAACTTCAGGGGAATTTGTTGACCTTTCACTTTTCTTGGGCATTTTCACAGCCTTGCAGCTGAACAAACAACTAGAAAGTGGCGATGCTGTGTGTTCGGGCATCTCCATGTCCATGGGCTCCTGTTTTATCGTACCCATCTGCACTCCCTTTACCTTTTTATTTTCAGCTGTTGTTAGAAGAGGCAGAGAAAAAAGGTGGTATTACAAAGTAGCGTGCGTACCGTTTGGGAAAAAAATGCACCCAAGGTTTGAATGACATTCTGTTTTATTAAAATTGATATTAAAATGATTTTTCAAACCTGAGCAACATAGTCATTTGCATAATTTATTTGCCTGAAGCAATCAAACAAGACAACAACTCACAGCACACTGCCCGCAACTGAATAAAACATGCCATAAATATAAAACCATTTAGACAGAATTACATTACACTAACCAAATATTTTTTATGATGCTTAACTGTTTCTGCCAGTATGAATATCTTGTTAAATATTCGTCTCTGACAAACCCCTCTTACACACACACAGACAAACACATACATCTGTCTATTTCTCTTAGAAAGCATGAACTACCCTATTGACTAGTGTAAGTTTGTGAGTATTTTAGGTTACATAGACATACACAGAGGATGTTAAAAAGATAAAGATAAAGATAACATGAACTGGCCACACACTGCCTGTGCACATTGAAGAATGTTTGCATTATATTTGGTGTATCCGCAAACAAATATTTACTTTGGAAGCAAACTGTGTGGGAATTAATTCAACCCAACTATATAGAAACACAAAATTAATTCTACTCCTGGAAGCAATTGACGCAAGCAAGCATCAAGTACTACAGCTGAATTTGAGAGGGAATAAAAAAAGGAAAGAAGGGCAAAGTAAATAGAGATGATATGTAAATACAGGGAAGACATAAAAATGTGGAGGAATGAAGCTAACTTAAGAGAAAATTGGCCTGACGTGGGGGTCAGATGAAGGAATCAGTGGAGATGCATTCAAACAGAGACATCTAGTGACCAACAAGGTACCTTGAGCATAGTAAAATAAATCTGTTTCTCTCTCTCTCTCCCCAACTCACCTAAAACATCTATACAACAATCAGTTTAAAAGCTGGAAGTGAATTTCTATCATATAAAACATCTGACAAATATCTTTTCTGGATGTTTTGAATGCTAATTGTAATACTGAATTAGATAAAGCGTATGGAATCACAGAACATTTCATACATTGACCGTTGTATTTGATGCCTAGTTATGATTTAATTTAATGAATAAAATGCAAGTACAATAAGTGTGACTGGGTAAAACAAAAATTGTTTATTCACGATCGCTGGTCAAGCTTTCATGACAAAGATTGGTAGGCATTTCTTACTGCAAGCAGCCACAGTAATCCCCACAGCAGACACAAATCATCAATTTACGTGACCGGAAAAGAAACCAAACACAAAGGTTGTTTGACACTTCTTCCATCAAGTCTTTGAAACAAACTTCCCCTAAAATATTTACAGTAAACCTCATATAAGTCGTATCATTTGGGACCATACATTTAATTTGACTTATGCAAAGTATGAGTTATGTGAAACTTGCATAGATTATAGGAAATTCAACGGGACCTTGGCAGATGTACGACTTAATTGATTATATTATTTAAACAGATCAGACTTGAGTTTTACTGTTTAAACCAACAGTCTTAAATTCTTAAATTGGAAAAGAAAATTAAATTCGATTTAAAAATCCAGTTTGTAGCGCTTCAGAAAACAAAGGAAACTGGAATAGGATTGGAACCATTAAAATTCTGAAACTGCATTACATTGAATCATAGAAAGTTTACAGCACAGGTGGCCATTCACTCCATCATGTAGATGCTGGTTCTCAAGCTCTAATTCCATTCTCTTGGCCTTTCCCCACACCACAGAATATTATTAAATTGCAACACTCTTAGATAGCGCATTCCAGGGAAAGGCAAAGCCTCAAAATACTTTACAGGAAAAGATTAGTCAGAAACAAAGTGATTGTTGCTCTGCAGCAGCTAAGCAGCAGAAAAGGGGTATTTCTTAACATCCACATGAATCACAAGACAGACGGGATCCAAATCGAGACACCTGGGTTCAATTCCAGGCAGCGCAAAATCTTGGGCAAGTTTCCTTACTTCACACGCCTAATAATAATCCCTCCAAAACAATAATAAATTGGTCATTTTCAATCCACAACTGTTTGTGAGACACTGCTGTGCGCAATTGGCTGCTGAGTTTCGACCACAAATATATGGTCAATTCACTTTACAGTATATTCTGTGAAGCGCTTTGAGATGTCTGGAAGGCGTGAAAACCGCTATATCAAATGCAAGGATTATTATTTTTATTAAATCAATAACTCAATTAAAAAAGGGATGATGATCTGGAAATAAGCAATGAAATAAGCCAATCTGAACCATCAACACCCCATAAATAATGAAATGTCAAATTAAACATTTTGGCTAGGAATCTGGATTCAGGGAGGGAATATTGGTCAGGAAGCATTGCAAGTAATTTACAGATTGGATAACACATGAAACAGGCAGCAAAACATGTCATGGTTGAGAGGACAATCTAAATCACCAGTGTCACTTACAAGATACTCACACTGAGATACATCTTAACTCTGTTCCTGTGGGGATTCTCCCCACCAATGGTAGACAACAACAGCTATTTACATTTATTTGGGGTTTTCACATCAGGAAGAGTCTCAAAGTGCTTCACACAGGTGACTGGACACTCAATCGGGGAGGTGAGAGGGTGGGGGGAGAGAGCTGAGAAGATGACAGAATGTAAGTTTGAGAAGATAGGACTGGAGGCAAGTTTCGACGATAATAATCCTTGCATGTGATAATAAACCTTGCATTAGATACAGCATGCTACCCTGTCATTCAAACGTCTCAAAGCACTTTACTGAGTACTGTAAAGTGAATTGACTGTATTACTTTTGGGTGAAACGTGGCAGCCAATTACACACAGTAATGTCCCACAAGCAGTCGTAGATTGAGTGACCATATTACTATTATTTTTTTGGAAGGGATTATTATCCCGGAAAGCGATCCACCAATCTATAAACAACCAGGTTCCTAATTACTGCTGGTAAGCAGGCGTGCGGAGTAAGGAAACTTGCCTAAGGTTTCGCCCCCTTATGGGAATCAAACCCAGGTCCTCTCGTTTGTGAGGCAAGTGCTCTAACCAATACGTTACAGGACTCCGTATGAGGGGGAGGGACAGTGAGCGGTAGAGCGACTTCAGAATGGAGTTCAGAGAATGGAGAGAGAAAGACTGAAAACTCGCCCACGAATGGGCAGGAAGATCTTACATTCAGCCAGAACTTATATAATTTAATTAGAAGTGTTATGGTTTATTTCACTGTAGATTAAAAGGTAGGGACTCATCCTGTGTGTTACTGTAACTTTAGAAAGCATGCTCCCCCCTCCACACACACACACACACACACTCACACACAAAATCAATCTTTAGTTTTATTGTACTGGTTAATTCCTTCAGCTGCCACAAGTCTATATATTGACATTCACCTCTGCCATTCACTGTATAATGAGACTTTTTTGTAATGCGTACATTAACATGACAGAAGGCAGGAAGGCCATCAATTCTTCCACTGGGCTGGGAATATTCATTTATCTTCATGATTTAGGGCAGAAGTTTTACCCTTTATTGTGGCTCAAGCTTACAACAAGGTTATAAGGTTCTCAAGACGTGGGGGAATTACACTGGAACTAACTGGTCTGGACTTCAGAATATTTCAGTGCAACTTTTACGAAAAAAATGAAGAAAGCATGTACACTGTGGTGCTACTGTACCTAGTATCTGCCACTAGAGGCCATACAAGCATGTTAAATAGCTTATTGTCAGCATGAGCAAAACATCTGCCTTTGGCATGGTCATATTTGAATGCAGTTCACTCTTCACATACAAATAAGATGGGTGTCAATTTTTTTGTGTGCGTGATGTAGCACTTTCAGGACATTAACTTTGTCTGTTTGTTTCTTTATTACTTCAATACTTTCTACCTCACAGTAGGAACTGCCACCTTTGGCAACGTAAAAAAAATCCACGAGAATTTAAATAAAAGAGGATCATGATCAGCTTGTGGGTAACCGGATCCCACAGTCTGAACAGCTCTTTATTTCTTGTTCATATTGTTTTGGGATGGGAAAAGGGTGCTGATTGAAATGTCATGTGAAACTATCATTGGTGCCAATTATTACATCAACCAAAATTGTGGTAAAAAGCAGTCAATAGCTGTCACTGGACTGTTGGAGGTGGAGAAGATGCTCACCTTCAAAGTCAATGATAACCAATCATTACTTTTGACCCACGTGGTAGATTCATGTACCACATTTCCTCTCTTCCCAGAATTTTAATCCCACAGTAAAAGCCATGCTGACCAAGTCAACATTGCACAAAGCACTAGCTTACTTACAAAAGCAGGCATGTCAACACCTTCTGTATTTACACATTAAAGGTAACAAACTGTTTAGGCATTACAACCACAACAACAACATTACATTTGTATAGCGCCTTTCATGTCAGGAGGACAGTCAATGTTTTGGATCCGAACTGTGGGGCAGGATCAGGGAGGGTGGGGTGGGGAAGGAGGGTGGCCGAAGGCACAGTCGAAGAGAAGGGTCTTGAGATGGGACTTGAAAAAGGCGAGGGATGGGCCGAGACGGAGGGACTGCGGGATGGAGTTCCAGAGTAGTGGGGGCAGAGTGACTGAAGGCTCATCCGACAATGGTGGGGCAGGTAAGGTGAGAGCATAGAGCAGGTCAGAGCCCACTGAGCGGAGGGAGCGTGCAGGATGGTAGGGGTTTACAACAACAATTTGGATTTATAAGCGCCCTCCACACCGGACGGTGTCTCAGAGCGCTTCACAGTAATGGATCCCAGGGCCGAGCCAGGGGGACGGGGAAGAAGGTGGTCAAAGGCGTGTTCGAAAAGAAAGGTCTTCAGCCAAGACCTGAAAATAGGAAGAGAGAGGGCGAGGCGAAGGGAGTGAGGAAGGGAATTTCAGAGCAGAGGATTTGAAGACAAGAGTGAGGATTTTGAAGTCGATCCTCTCTGGGACAGGCAGCCAGTGCAGTCTGGCAAGTCTGGGGTAATCGGGGAGTGGAGTTTGGTGCGGGTA